TGGCAGGTACCTGTGGTCCCAACTACTCAGGAGGCTGAGGCAAGAGAATCACCTAAGCCCAAGAAATGGAGGTTGCTATGAGCTGTGACATAACAGCACTCTATCGAGGGCGAGAAAATAAGACTCTCTCAAAAAAAAAAAAAAAAAAAAAAAAAAAATATATATATATATATATCTCCAGACTGCACAGGACTCAGGGTGGCCATCCCAGTTGCCCTAACCAAGAAACAGATCTATACAAGAGTATAGTTTACATCTATATCAATAACAGATATCATGCTTTTAAATTATTTTGCTAACCTAAGGTGGGAAAAAAGAAGGATGCCATTATTTTAACTTTATATTTTCTTATTATTAGCAACCTAAAGTTTTTCTGTCTATTTCTTACCACACTATGTAAAGTAAACTAATTGGCTTATTTATTAGGATTTAAGGGATGTTTTATTGACTTATATGAACTCAATACAATAAGGATATTAAATCTGGCTATAGCTATTAGCAATTTGTTTTCTGCCTTTTAGTTTTCTTGTTGAGTCAAGCAAAATAATAAAAAAATCTTTAAAAGTCAGCCAAGGACAGTGGCTCACACCTGTAATCCCAGCACCATTAAAGACCAAAGCAAAAGTACTGCTTGAGGCCAGGTGTTTAAGACCAGCTTGAGCAAGGGCAAGACCCCTGCCTCAAGAAAAAATAGAAAAATTAGCCAAGTATGGTACATGCTTATCATCCAAGTTACTCAGGAGACAAAGGCAGGAGAATCCCTTCAACATGGGAAATTGACAGAGAAAGACCCTATCTCAAAAAAGGAAGAAAAAAAGAATCTTAAAAAGTCAACATAATTAGTTGCCAGCACATTAAATGGAGGAGAATCATTTTAGTAAGATCTGTAAATTGTATCAAAAACAAAAGAAAAATATGTGTTAGACAAACATTCTCCAATGAACATGAGGACAGCTCTAAGGACACACAAAATATGTGTAAATGAAACCTGCCAGTCCCTAATAAAAGATATGAATTTTTTTTTTTTAAGAGGCAGGATCTTGCTATGTTTACAAGCTAGACTTGAACTCTTAGGTTCAAAGGATCCTCCTGCTTCAGCTCCTGAGTAGATCTGAAATTCTGTTGGAGACAAAAAGAACATAGTAGAGCCAAGAGGGTCAAAATATTTTCTCTAAACATTTCATCAGCTATATGGTTTATATGAGTAATCAGCCAGGCATGGTGGCTCATCCTATAATCCCAGCACTATGGGAGGCTGAGGAGGGAGAATTGCTTGAGCTCAGGAGTTCAAGACCTGCCTGAGAGTGAGACTTTGGCTCATAAAAAAATGAAAACCCAGCTGAGCGCAAGCGCCACAGCAAGCACCTGTAGTCCCAGCGGCTTCCTGAGGCTGAGGCAGCTGGATGGCCACAGCCTGAGTCTAAGATTGCAGTGAGCTATGATGCCGTTGCACTCTGCTCAGGACATAAGGTGGGACTCTGCCTCAATGACAACAACAAAAAGGAGAAATCATAGCTCACCCTCACTCTTCTCCCCCAAAAAAAGAGGACAGAAGAAAAACCAAAATCTCACAGGGCTTAGGAATGCCATTTTTTAAAAAACTAGGGGGTAGATAGGACTCTGAAGATAAGAAAATGATAGTAACATAGTTTTCTAAACACTCCAAATCACTAGAATGTCAAATTCCAAACCCATGCTTAGCACTCATAACAAAGTAGGTGACAAGGTAGCCCCCAAAACCCTAAAATGTAAGTAGGTAGGGACAAACTGTCACCAAACCCAAAACCTGCATGGTAACAGCATCTGTGCAGGAGGAAGCAATGGAGTGTGTCTCACTGACCTCAGAACAGGAGACCCCCCCCCCCAAAAAAACAGCCAATCAAGTACTCACTGGAAAAAACAATGATTTGACCAATCTAGGAACAGTAATTACAACTGGGAAGTTTTGTGCCTTCTGATAGCAATAGGGTCAAGGAGTCTATTATGAGAAGTTCTAAAAAAAAAGGCTAGGGTAATCTAGCTGTGGCAAACTCTTGAAATTTACCAGCCAAGGCTCCCTGCCAGGACAAAGCCCCCACATTGAGGAAAAACTACTGGAAGTGGAATTAAAACTGAGTAAGAGACTTGGTGCCTGTAGCTCAGAGGCTAGGGTGCCAGACACATAGATTGGAGCTGGCAGGTTTGAATCCAGCCTGGGCCTGCCAAACAACGACAACTACAACCAAAAAACAGCTGGGTGTTGTGGCAGGCGCCTGCAGTCCCAGCTACCTGGGAGGCTGAGGCAAGAGAGTCGCTTGAGCCCAAGAGTTTGAGGCACTGTGAGCTGTGACACCACAGCTATCTACCGAGGGCGACAAAGTAAGATTCTGTCTCAAAAAAAAAAAACTGAATAAGAAAGGGAAAACAAAGGGGGAAAGATGAAGAATACCATGATAAAAATTGGGAAAGGGAACAATGTGGGAAACCACTGTGTGTTTTTTAATATTACACACACACACACACACACACACACACACGCACACACACAAAACAAAGGGAGGGAGTCTAAGCAGTTAGAAAAGCTATTTTAAATGCCACACCATTCTAAAAGTTCAGGGAAACTAATTTCACATAAAAATAAGCAACAGAAAAGTACTAAGGCCAAATGCCATATGAAGTTATTTATTATAAAGAAAGAAAGGAGAGAGGGCACCTATAGTCCCAGCTACTTGGGAGGCTGAGGCAAGAGAATCGCTTGAGCCCAAGAGTTTGAGGTTGCTGTGAGCTGTGATGCCACAGCACTCTACCCAGGGTAACATAGGGAGAGACGAAAGGAGGGAGGGAGGGAGGAAGGAAGGAAGGAAGGAATGAAAGAGAGAAAGAAAGGAGAAAGGAGCAGAAATAACATCCCTACAATAAAAGCATGCCAGAAGGAAAATGCCCATAAAACAGATCAAACTATAACCTATTTCAAAATAAGCTAAAAGAAATTTTAAAAAATGAATAAGACCTGAAAGAAAAACAAATCTGGGCTCGGCGCCTGTGTCTCAAGTGGTTAAGGCGCCAGCCACATACGCCTAAGGTGGCAGGTTCAAATCCAGTCCAGGCCCGCCAAACAACAATGACAGCTGCAACCAAAAAATAGCCAGGTGTTGTGGTGGGCACCTGTGATCCCAGCTACTTGGGAACTGAGGCAGGAGACTTGCTTGAGCCCAGGAGTTGGAGGTTGCTGTGAGCTGTGATGCCACAGCACTCTACCCAGGGGGACAGTTGGAGGCTCTGTCTCAAAAAAAAAGAAAAGAAAGGAAAAACAAATCTGAATTAGAAACCCTTCAAATGAGGTAACATCAGTCAAAAAAGAATTAGAAATAAAAGAAAAAAAATCATTTCTCAGCTCAGTGCCCGTAGCTCTATGGTCAGGGTGCCAGCCATATAAACAGAAGCTGGCAGGTTCAAGCCTGGTGGCCCTGTTAAACAACAATGATAACCACAACCAAAAAATAACCAGGCATTGTGGTGAGCACCTGTAGTCCCAGCTACTTGGGAGGCTGAGGCAAGAGAATCACTTAAGCCCAAGAGTTTGAAGTTCTGTGAGTTGTGATGCCACAGCACTCTACTCAAGGTCACACAGTGAGACTCTGTCTCAAAAAAAAATCATTTCTGAAATGCAGACTAAACTAGAAGAAATTCAAGTGTAAATAAATATTGTAGATAATATCCTAAGAGTAACAAAAGATGAAAAAGAGACATTTTTAGAAATAAAAAAGAAACAAAAAATTTCAAGACAAAGTGACAGGAGGGACTTTACCTAACAAATATAATCAATATAATCTGATTGAACCCAATGAATCCCCAACAAGAGAATCACTTAAGCCCAAGAGTTTGAGGTTCTGTGATCTGTGACATAGTGAGACTCTGCCTCAAAAAAAAAAAAAAAAAAAAGTCATGTTTTCAGTAATCACACAGCAGCAGCTATGTATGCCTTATTATTTAAGGCCTGCTGTTAGGCTGTATATGTGTAACATGTGATTAAAACAAATGAGTAATAATGGGATATTCTAATACTATCATACCTGTATCTTTGTGAATCAGCTGAGAAGAAAGAGGATACAAACGTAATACAGAAAAAGTTAAGTAAAAACTCAAAAACTTGGTAATTCTGAATTTGAAAGTATCACTATGAACTCATGAGGTATTTAAGCTTTAAATACACATAAACACTCTTTCTTTCTCTCTCTCTCTGTTCCTAGTTCTGTCCACTACAAAAGCTGAGAAACAAATCATCTCAGTAGCCTTAAGCATCTCTAGCACTCTGATTGAGATACTGAAATACCATTTCCCAACAAAAGAAATAAGGGCTTTTTTTGAGAAACATCTAGCTAATTCCACATTGGGGGAAGAAAAGAACAAAATCAGCCAGGAACAATGTGATAAATCAGAAAGCAAAGGCTCAGTGCCTGTGGCTCAAGCGGCTACGGCACCAGCCACATACACCTGAGGTAGCGAGTTCGAATCCAGCCCAGACCCGCCAAACAACAATGATGGCTGCAACCAAAAATGGCCGGGCACTGTGGTGGGCACCTGTGGGAGAGGCAGGAGAATCACTTGAGCCCAGGAGTTGGAGGTTGCTGTAAGCTGTGATGCCATAGCACTCTACCCAGGGCGACAGCTTGAGGCTCTGTCTCAAAAAAAAAGAAAGCAAAGAAGCTATCAAAGTTTATTAGGCTTATGTCAAGAGAATTTCAGAACCACCCTGAAAAGACTTTTAATTAGCCAAAGATGAAATAATATGACCTTCACTACAGATAATAAATAATTCAATGGACTAAAACTCATATAGGTTTAAATCTATGGATTCATGATGATATTTTAAATAAAGTTAATTAGTCAGATTTTGAAGAAGATAGGAGCATTAAAGTCAAAACTAGTAAATAAAAAGTGAGGAGAATAAAGCATTTATTCTGCCTTTCCTATCTGAACTGTAGAAGAGTAATCAATAAGGGAAGCATCTCTTCATAAAAACATTCTAAGTAATAAATAAAAAAGAAATGATAGAATAGGATCATTTTGCAACCAAACACAAAAGAATTAACAGATCTAGCTATTAAGCTTCAACCAGACAGAACTTGATAGAAGAATACGACACCATGTATACAGTCTTGACAAAGAACAAACCTGAGACCAATCAAGCCTCTAGATCCAATGCCAATGTACAGGAAATATAAATGACAAAGAAACTTTTGAACAATACTCTGAATAATCAAACAGCAAAATTCAGACTCTGTATAATTCTACAGCCTAAAAAGCCTAAGTTCCTAACAAATACATTGAAGGGGGAAAAAATACAGAAATAATCAATAAAGGGATTCAGAAGATTTTACTACTTTTTTTAAGAAGCAAGACTGAACTATAGTATCCAAGGATGCACATCCGGGTGACAAAACTAGAAAGACATGCAAGAAAGTGGTTACTCTAAACGTCAGAATAGTGGTTATTTTGGGAAGAAGAAAAGGACTTGTGATCAGAACATGAAAGACCTTCCACAGCAGCTGGAAAAATTCTATATATTTCTTTACCTAGGTACAGATTAAAAGATATTTATTTTATAATAATTAAGCCGTACATTGGTTTGTATGTCTTTCTATAATCTGTTTTACTTAATTTAAAAATCTCTTCAGTTAAAGTTACCAAGACATGGACACAAAATGCAAAATAAATAAAAGGGTATACACTGAAAAGTACGTCTCCAACATCCCACCCAGTGCTAGATACCCCAGTTCCACTCTTTAGAGACTCCACTGGTGTCACTTTCTTTTGTAGCCTTTTCAGAGATAAAATGAATTATTTTCAAGGGATAAATACATAACATAGCATTTTAAGACAAAGTGATTTTTAATACAAAGGCCATGATTATTACATACCTCTTCGAAGAGACATAATGCTGCCTCATAGAGTGAGCACAAGCCATCAGATGTTCTAGTTGGCTCCCTCCACTGACTCCGATCAGCAGATGAACCCTATAAATTAAAACATTGTAGCATACAGTGTTGGAAGGAAACAGAGACATGTCTGTTAAAATCACTTAAATGGCCTATAAAAACAGTATCTATTTGAAAAACTATTTATATGATTATGTGCATTGAGACAAAATCTTAACATTAGGCCATGAAACCAACTTTTTCACAGAAATGTTAGAAAAGACCTGGCTACTGAATCAAACAAAACATTAAGCACTACTCCCTGACTAATTACCTTATTAAAAAGTGATTTATTCCAAGGGTCAGAGGGCTCCAGAAACAGTCAAAAAGGTGGAATTTTGTCAGTTATACACTCTTTAGGGGACCAATATCCAATAAAATATAATCCCAGGATATATTCTCCTCCTTAGGTACTGCATTGCTCACCTGCCCCTCAAGCATACAGGCAGGCAGAATTGCTAATTTGAGTTATGACCCTGAATAAAGTTGTAGAAAGTCTGTTCTTCCTTAGTTTCAGCTTAACTAACTTAGGTCCAAGGAAATCAGGTCATGTAGCTACCTTTCTACAGTAGCAAGAAAGCATCTTTTTCCTAGCATAGCCAAGGAATCACAGCACCTCTCCGGGACTCAATGCCTACTTCCACAGTTAGACCTGAAGGAAGAAATCATTACCTCATTAAAAAATAAATCAGAAAGTGAACAAACTCAGTAGCCATTTCCCCTCAAATTTCCTTATCTTTAGACAACATGTATGACATTCTTTTTACGATTTATCAATCCTATGATTGTGACATTTTCATTGGTGACTTTATTTCAAAGGATACTACAGTGTAAAAATATTTATATTCTAGATAACGATTTAGCAGATATACCATATTCCTACCGTGGAGGAAATATTGACCTAGATGCCCCACAAGATGCCATACAACTCTAAGATGCTACGATTTTATTAAATCAAACCATTTTAATGAACTTGATTCATAAGTATTAAAGGGGCGAATATTTTAGATCAAATATAAAACCCAGATGTCTTCGTTTAAACAAGGAAAGACAGTTATTTAAATCGAGTTTTTATAATAATAAAGCTTAGTTAGAATTTTTTAAGTTCCATAATACACTGAATGTTTTGCAGGTTTTTAAAAAGTTATTCTATATATTCATCTGCCCTCTTTCTATTCCACCAAGTAAATAAAACTATTATGAAATTTTCATTAACCTGTATCACTAAGAAGATGCGCAACAAAAACTATTTTTAAATAAAAACAGTAAAAATTCAGTTGCTCTCAAATCATTCAAATACGAAATCACTGTGGAGAGTTCTCCAAACAGCTGTGTGATATGGCGGAACTTGTTCATCTAACTTGTTACCCCTGCCTTCAAAAGGGGCCATAGTGCCTGGCCCATAAAGTGCTTACGTACATGTTATATTGCCGACTCCTTTGTTCAACAGATGTGTAAATTCAAGTTAATCATGACAACTGCTTTAAGATAAGGGTAAATAATATCTAATAAACTCCAAGTGAGGCTCAGCACTCAAAGCACAGTGATTATGGCACCAGCCACATGCACCAAGGGTGACAGGTTCGAATCTGGCCCGGGCCAGATAAACAACTGCAACAAAAAGGTAGCTGGGCATTGTGGCGGGTGCCTGTAGTCCCAGCTACTTGGGAGGCTGAGGCAAGAGAATGGCTCAAGCCCAAGACTTGGGGGCTGCTGTGAACTGTGACGCCATGGCACTCTACCAAGGGCAACACAGTGAGACTCTGTCTCAATAAATAATAAATAAACTCCAAGTGAATGGCCTTTCACACCACTCTCCTCACCCCACCAAAGCTGTAGAGAAGTTCATTCACTCTCTTCACAGATGGCTCCCTTCTCCTTTTCTATAAGGCCTTTATAAACTTATAATGTAAAGTTTTCCGTTGTGAGGTCTCTGTTATCCTCCACTCCATCACTAACTGCTATCATTAATTTATTGTCTTCTGCAGTCACTAATCCCCCACTTCTCAGATAGTTTTCAATAAATAAAAACATCATAGTTAATCTATCTACAAGACAGCCAATTGCTCATCACCTTTAGATTCTGTTTTTTAACCTTTGTGTTTTTTTAACCTTGAATTTCAGTACATTTCTCAGGCAGGACTCCAGCTCCAGGGCTCCAAAAATTATCTCAACAGCCTTCCAAGTAGCTGAGACTACAGGCACATGGTTGGCTCATCTTTGACTCTGGCTATTTCTTTTGTTGCTGAATTATCAGATGATAACCTGTTGCTGCCAAAGTCAGTTTTTCTTTGTTTAGGGTGGTACTACTTAAATTTTAATGTGGACATGAACAACTTGGTAATTTTGTTAAAATGCAGGCTCTGATTCAGTAGGTGTAGATAGGGCCTGAAATTCTGCATTTCTAGCAACACCCAGGTGATGCCAATGCTGCTGTCTGAGGCGCACACCTTGAATATGGCTTTAGGGTCCCAACTTCTAATTATGGGATCATATTAACGTTGAGTGTTCATAAATAACCAGTCCCTAGACTTTCAACGTGTTGCTATACCAACCTCTCCAAATTCCATAATTAGTTGTGAAGTATACCTGGGAAAAACACAATTGTGACCTGTGGCTCTGTTATTTAAAGACCACTTCTAGTGATCACCAAACCAAAAGGAGATAAAGAGTAAGTAGGCACTGTACACTTCTAGGAGGTAGTACCAGGGCCATCATAATCCATCTGTTATGCCTTTCTACAATATGGAGGGAAATGTTGAAAAGAGAATAAAGTTTTCAATGACAGACTTGGGTTTAAATCTAGGCTCCATCACTTATTGGTTCTGTGACAGAAGGGCTAAGTTTCCTCATCTTGAGATAGGAATAATGCTCATACCACTTAGGGCTATTGGGAAGATAAACTGAAAGTATGTGTAAAATACACTTAGTACAGTTCTTAACAGAGTAAGACCTAAAAACTGGTAGCAGTTGTTTATGAACACTCAGCTTTAATATGATCCCATACCAAAAAAGTAATAGTAGTTGTTATTTTGCATTGGGTATATTAAGGAAGAGAAATACTAGGAGTCTTAAATAAGTTCTTGCTAAAGGTAAGAATACCACACCAATAAAACAACCTGCAAACAATGTCTATAATGACTGTTGTTGATTTCTTCCACAAAAAGTCAATATTTAAGGATGAGACTACTCCAGCTTTTATGACTAAAGACACCTTTAACATCCATCCCACACAGAATTCTTAATGTGTTTTGTAAACATACTAAATGCATTTACTAAATAAATAATAATTATACTGCATAATAAAAAAACTGAGCTAAAGCTGGGCATTTTTAAAGAAATTAAATTTGGGGAAATATAGCCCAATTAAATGTATAACTGCATATACTATTAAATATGTTCAACAGTCCAAAAATAAAGTGGAAATTAAAATAACATGAATTTGTAGTTTCACAGGTCTTCAGTTACCTTCCTCTTAAATATCTACCATCCACCATCCAAAATATTAGCAATATACCTTTCCCCCCACATTTGTCTGTTTAAGATATTCACACAAGGTCCTAAGACTGAGCAGATCATATTTCCTTTTCTTCTGGCTGCTTTTTGGTTTTTTGGTTTTTCGTTTTAGGGGACTTTTTTTGGAGACAGTGTCTCACTTTCTCGCCCTAGGTAGAGTGCCGTGGCATCACAGCTCATAGCAACCTCAAACTCTTGGGCTCAAGCAATCACACAAGATTCTTACCCAGGATAGATTCTGAATTCTGAGCCAGCAATCTAGTCTTCTCAGCACCCTAATCCCAATACGGAGCTATATTACAGGGGATGGCACTGGAAAGAAAGGAGGGTGACACCTCCTTACTAAGTGTATTTGCTATTTTGTCTAGAAATAAGGAGCCAAGTGTAGAGAAAACTGGAAATCCGGCAATAAGACAAATGTATTATATTTTAGATCTACTTTAAGGTAGGCCTTCATGGAAAAAAAAAAAGATCAATTTAACATAAACAGGGTAAAAACTGCATATAGTAGTTAGAAAAAACATGGGTTTTTGCAGACAAACTCAGGGCTATAAGAATTACTTAACATAGTGCCCGGCCAAAAGTGCTTAAGTACATGCTATATTGCCAACTTCTTTGTTCAACAGATGTGTAAATTCAAGCTAATCATGACAACTGCTTTAAGATAAGAGTAAATAATATCTATTTTACAAATTAAATGATAGTTTAATGAGATGATACATATAAAGCACCTGGTGGGTAATAGGTACTCACCAAGGTTAGTTCTCCTTCTCACTTACTCCAGGTATTAGGGAGTAGGAAATGAAAGAAGTCGAAAAAGCAATGGGATGAGATATTATAGATTAACTAAATGAAGAAAAAAACACAATATGGGCCAAGCATGGTTGCTCACACCTGTAATCCCAGCACTTTGAGTGACTGAGGCAGAAGGATCACCTGAGGTCAGGAGTTTGAGACCTGCCTGAGCAACATAATAAGACCCTGTTTCCATAAAAAATAGAAAAATTAGCCAGGTGAGCACCTATAGTTGCAATTACTTAAGAGGTTGAAGCTGGAAGATCATTTGAGCCCAGGAGGGTGAGATTGCAGTAACCTATGATGATGCCACTGTACTCCAGCCTGGATAACAAAGCAAGACTCTGTCTTAAAAAGAACCAAAAAATTTAAACTATCAGCCAAATAATAAACATGCATACAAGCAACTCTAGACAATGAGGTTAAATAGATACTGAGAAAAGTCTAGTTTCCCGGGGATAAGGCCTTAATGGTTAAATTAGAGAAGAGAGCTCTGACTCAAAGTATCTAGCATTTTGTTCAGGAAGTAAATACACCATGGATAAGTAAATAATAACATAACTATGCTGTGCAATAATTAAGACGGGCTTGGTGGTATATTCCTGTAGCCCCAACTACTCCGAAGGCTGAGGCAAGAGGATCTCTTGAGCCCAAGACTTTTGAGGTTTCTGTGAGCTATAATGATGTAATAAGCACTCTACTCAGGGCAACAAAGTGAGTCAAAAAAAAAAAAAAAAAAAGATGGCTCAGCGCCTGTGGCTCAAGTGGCTAAGGCACCAGCCACATACACCTGAGCTGGTGGGTTCGAATCCAGCCTGGGCCCGCCAAACAACAAAGACGGCTGCAACCAAAAAATAGCTGGACATTGTGGCGGGCGACTGTGGTCCCAGCTACTTGGGAGGCTGAGGCAGGAGACTCACTTGAGCCCAGGAGTTGGAGGTTGCTATGAACTGTGATGCCACAGCACTCTACCCAGGGGGACAGCTTGAGGCTCCTGTCTCAAAAAAAAAAGAAACCAATATCTTTTTGTAACAAAAGTGATGCAAAATAAGTAGCACAGAAAATGAGAAATTGACTTCCCACAGAAATATTAACATGTGGCCATAAGTACACACACTATTTTAGGTCATTAAATGACCTTATAAACTTGAAAACAAAGTAGAATAAGAAAACGTCACCAAAAGTGTTAAAAATCAGAAAACAAAATTAGAAAAATTTGTGCGAGAGAATTTTTTTTTTTTAATAATAAGCAAACATAAAGGCCTAATTGCCTCCCACAGCTGTTCCAAGGCCCTTTCCTACTTAGGTTTCGCCTCAAGTGAAGATCACAGGATCCAATGTGTCAATATTCCATATCCCAAACAAAGCACTGCACTTTTATTTAACATTAACAAATTTAAGTTTTCATAAATTTTATGATGTAAAAATTCCCACGTACTTAGCTATAATAATATTGTAAAAAATGACCCAGTAATCACCATTCAGTTCTAGTTCACAAATACAAAACATAAACTAGGTGAAAACTTAAGTGAACTGGTTTGAAAATAAATTCAAATTTTTTTTTTATGAAATACTTCTGTCTAAAACCTTTCCACCTGTTTGGGGGAAAAAAGACTTCACATATACACACATAATCTACATGTAGCATTTTTAGTTACTTTAAATAAATTTGTTAGTTGATATTTGGTAACAAAGGACACCAAAAAGACTAATCAATGTAACCTAACTGAACTTAAGTCAGCTTATAAGTATTTAAGCCTTAGTAAAATTTAAAATTTGTATTTTAACACTTGAATTTTTATTCTTGGTTTTCATGAAGGTATTACATGTCCTACAAATTCTTGAAACTGATCACACTGTACTTTATTTATTATTTATTCTTTCACATGGTATTTGACAGTCAAATGATTAATCTCCTGATCCACAATCTTCACAGATCTTTGCTTTGCTCATTACTTCCCTTCATCCAGGTCTCTGCTCTAATGTCAACTTGAGAGTGCCCTTCTCTGATCACATTAACTAAAACAGCACACCTTTCACCTCCCATCTTTTGCTGCCTGTGCCCATCACTCTCTATTTTCCCATCATTCTCTATTCCCTTTCCCTCCCTTATTTTTCTTGTTAAAAGGTCTCACTACCTGAATTACATAATAAATAAGTCTGACTTCTCTACTAGGCTGTTAGCTCTATGGAGGCAAAAATTGCATCACTAGAGCCTAGAATAATACTTGGCATGTAAGTAAATGCTTAATAAAAAATTAGAAGGCTGGAAATAAGAGATATTTTTCAAAAGAAAAAAACTTACCAGCCAAAATGGCCTCACAAGTTTACTGAAAACATGAAGAAGTGAGATGAATTTCCCAAGTTCACACAAGAAGCCTTACATCAAAAACTACAAACCTAACTCCTGGTCTTAACACTGTACCAACTAGTCTGTCCCTATATATCAAAATGCACAAAAGTTTCTTCACTCAAAAGTATGTAAAACAGGCTGGGCACAGCGGCTCATGCCTATAATCCTAACACTCTGGGAGGCCAACAGGGGTGGATCACCTGAGCTCAGTAGATTGAGACCAGCCTGAGCAAGAGCAATATTTTGTCTCAACAAAAAATAGAAAAACTGAGGAGGCTCGGCGCCTGTGGCTCAAGCGGCTAAGGCGCCAGCCACATACACCTAAGGTGGCGGGTTCGAATCCCCAGCCCGGGCCCGCCAAACAACAATGATGGCTGCAACCAAAAAATGGCCAGGCGTTGTGGCGGGCCCCTGTGGTCCCAGCTACTTGGGAGGCTGAGGCAGGAGACTCGCTTGAGCCCAGGAGTTGGAGGTTGCTGTGAGCATGATGCCATGGCACTCTACCCCGGGGGATAGCTTGAGGCTCCGTCTCAAAAAAAAAAAAAAAAAAAAAAAACTGAGGAAAGGGGATCACCCGAGCTCAATAATTTGAGGCTGCTGTAGGCTATGATGATGCCACAGCACTCTACCCAGGGCAACAAAGTAAGACTCTTTCTCGGAAAAAAAAAAAAAAAAAGTATGTAAAATATTTAATTAATGTAATATGAACATAATCACCAGAAGTCTCAAGTCATTCACTATTACCACCAATTCAATAAAAGCTGAGTTGACATTTCCAAAAAGTCATTAGTTACAAATTTTAAAGTTAAGATTTAAAGTACGTACCAAAGAACGCCTCATCTGCGTTAGTATAGTCATGAAGCAGTCAAAGCTGATCATTCCTTCCTGGCTTGACAGTAGTTTGCTTTTCTCCATAGTATTTACAACCGCTGACGCCCCCAAAGCCATTTCTATCCATTCAAGAAGATACCGCAAAGAGCCTCGCTGAGCTGCTAAACCAAGCAGCAACTCAGAAGCTAATCTACGACCTAATATGTCTGCTCCAGAATTAGGAATAGTTACTCCTTTAAGAAATGTTGTTACTTGTGATAAGCAGTCCAAACCCATAGGAGGAATCTTGCTTTCATTTGCTAAAGATAATGGTGGCAAAGAGCTCACAACTTCAATTGCAGTATGAATAACATCATTGCAAAGACTAAGACCAGGTCCTGAAACAGGCATCATCCAACTTTGTCTTAGAAGTGCAAATAATAAACTTAGGCCAGTTCGAACACCCATTTCTATAAGTGCATCAGTGCTTGATCGGGGACGTTCACTAACAGAATGGACATCTGCTGAACCAGAGCTGCTCTCTGGAGAATGCTGCTGCTGTTTCACTTTGCCTTTGTCATGGTATTTATTAGAAAGTGCATAAAAGACACGTTGGAGTACAAGCAATCGTTTTCGAAGTGCCCCAGCAAATGGGGAATCTGAACATACCATCTTTGCTAGTGCTAGCTGGCTGCTAAGAAGGGCATCCAAATAGTGGTCCTGCTCATCACTTGAAAGAGACTCACGTTCAAAGTCTGGCAATTGTGGTCCTTTGAGGCATAAAACTTGTTGGGGCAAAGGTACTACTTCCTTATTGCTAACCAACTTAGAATATAAAACAGCAACTCCCTCTCTTGTAGCAATAGATTCACTGTCCTCTGTAATCCAGGAGCTGTTTAGGTGCTCAAGCCATTTCAGTTTCACTGGTGGAACCATAGTTGCCATGTTGATTTATCCTTCAGCCATTAGTTCTGTAAAGGCAAAAGAGAAAAGTTAAAAACATATGAATGATTCATAAAATATTTCTAAACTTCCATCTTACAATTAGTAATTTCCAACTGGTGAAAGCAAACAAAATCTAGAGCTTAGTTCATTGTACAGTACCACTGTCAGTATTTTAGCTTGGATAAAGGTAGCATAGCTACCTAAGACATTAACATTAAGGAGAAATGAGTGAAAGTACCATATAATGCTGTGTAAAATACACTTCCCCCCAAATTTTTGAGGGAAAAATAGGATGCACATTATTTATGGAAAATACCAATTCCATATCTATATGAATGTTTTCAATTCCTTTATTTATACTTATGCATTAAAAGTGTAACTCTAAAAAGCAATAATGATATCCATATGCAAAATAATACCTTGGAATATAGTAATTGGTTCTGCTGAACTTATGACACAACAAAAGCATTTTTGGCCAAAAAAGAATGATATATTTCTCTCAGTACACTTAGGCACAAAGTAGCAATCTAGCTGATATTTTTACAAAAATTATTAGAAACTCTCTTGGGAAATATTGAAACAGTTTTCATAAACTGCAACCATTAAGCTAACAGTTATTAAATATGCAAAAAGCATGGCAACAGAGCTGCCGAGAGACATTTTGGCCCTCTTCCCACAGAAAGCATCATCAGATTGTGCAGGTAACAGAAAGAAAATCTTCTTCAGATGCCGAGACAGAGGAAGGCAAAGAAAACCTCCAAAGTGGCTGGAAGTAAGAACAAGAGGTAGAGACCTGGATTCTAAAGCAGCATCAAACTGGGATCTCTGTTTCGACCAAGATAATACAAAAAGAGGGTAAAAGGATTGCACCAGTAATTAAAAAAAAATTTTTTTTGATGATTTCTCAGGAACACCTAAATAGTGATTTAACTTTATGAAGACAGAAGGTTTGAGGACATGAACAAAACTTGCCAAAAAACTTCCAGCAGCCCATGATGAGAATCAAGTTTTGGAATTTCATTCTCATGTTATCAATCTTTGAAAAACTTACAACTTACAGCTATCCAAAATTCCCAATATGGATGATCCTACACACATTTGATGTGCCACCCAACAGAACTGTAGATGTCAAAGGAGCAAACACCAAGGCTGGTAAAATTAGTGGACATGAGAAAACACATTCCACTGTTGTTCTATCTGGTTGTGCAGATGGGGTAAAACTACTAGGTCACCTTTAAAAGAAAAATGTTTCCAAAAGAAAAGATTCCATGTGCCTGAAAAAGGATGGATGAATGAAGAAGGCATGAAAATCTAGTTTAACAAAGACAATTACTTAAAAAAACAGCTTTGCTTATTTTTTGATCTCTTCAAAGCCCATGTTATACAAGTGCAAAACCAATCACAGTAGACTTGAAAACCCAACTTGATGTGATACCTGATGGGTAACCAGCCAACAGCAACCTCTTGATGTGTTGATAAATAAGCCCTTTATGGCCCTAATGAAGAAAGAGTAGACATTGTGGATATAGTCATCTGGTAATGATTTAACTCTTGTAGGCAGAATCAAGAAAACATCCATCACCCAGGTTTGGTAATGGGATCCTAAGACTGCAGTCAAGAAGGAAATAGTTGTGAAATCACTTTAAAAATGCAGCATTGTAGCAGAGCAAGACTCTGTTAAAAAAAAAAAATACAGCATCAACAATGGTACGGATGGAACTAAGGATGATAAAATTTACCAAGATAAGAAAAATGATTCAGACGGCTCCTGTGACTCAGCAAGTAGGGCGCGGCCCCATATACCAAGGGTGGAAAGTTCAAACCCGGCCTCAACCAAACTGCAACAACAACAACAACAAAAACATCCGGGTGTTATAGCGGGCACCTGTACTTCCAGCTACACAGCTACATGGGAGGCTGAGGCAAGAGAATCACCTAAGCCCAGGAGTTGGAGGTTGCTGTGAGCTGTGATTCCATAGCACTCTACCGAGGGCGACATAGTGAGACTCTGTCTCTAAAAAAAAAAAAAAAAAAAGAAAGAAAATGACTCTTCAGAAGATACTGGTAATGTAGAAACTGAAGATGATACTACTGATATTGACAGTGATAAAGAGTTCTTGGCCTTCTATGGTGCATAAATGTGATAGTGATACATTTGTTACCACTACATAAGATTTCTTATACCTTGTATCTGTTCTTGTGTTTTGTAATTATGTGTTACACAAAATTTCTTGTACTATAATATTTTTAATAAGTATTACAATTATCTTATAATGCAAAAAAATACCTAAATATTAAAAAATAAAAATTTGAATTATAAAATTAAAAGAATTATTTTTCTAAAAGTTTGGGCCAAAAACATGGGTACACATAGAAGCATATTATACACAGTTAAATAGTGGTGGTATATGGAAACTCTGTACCATTCTTGCAATTTTTCTGTAAATCTAAAATTCCAAAATAAAAGTTTTATTTTCAAAAGTAGTGATTTCTTCAGATGTCCCTTTTTCCTTAAGATTCTGATCCCACTGTTAATATAACAGTGGGACCAACATGCCAGTGACTCCCAAACTTGTATCTCCAACCCAGACCTTTTCCCTAAACTCCTTATTACTTATATACAAGGTCTGACGATTAATTTCACAAACTTGCCACTGTCCACTCACATTGGCAGCCCTATACAAACAGCTTGGTACATTTCATAACGTTGGTATATCAGTGTCTCATAGCTGTGTTCATGCTGATGTACAGTGGTATCTCACTAAGTGGCATTCATTATTGTTGCTGTGTGTTTTTGTGTGCTGGCGTATGAATGTCAGAGTTTGAATTAGAGCAAGAACAAAGATTGATAAATTTCTTTATAAAGTTAGCAAGAGTGGAAGTGAAATCAGGGACATGTCAGTCCAAGTTTATGTAGACAATACCAAGAAGAAAACGGCAATGTACAAAAGGATTAAACGTTTTTCTGAGGGGAGGGAAAGCATCACTGATGAAGAGCGGTAGGGGCAGCCAGTAACAAGATGAACTGATGAAACCATTTCAAAAATTCATTAAATTGTGCATCAAAATTGTCAGCTGATTGCAAGAAGCATAAGAGATCAAGTAACCATCAAAAGAAAAACAAGAAAATCTTAACAGAAAATCTTGGCATGAGAAAGGTGTGTGCGAAAATGGTCCTGAAGGAGCTCAGTGAGGAACAAAAGCAAAGGACATTTGAAGTTTGCCAAGATCTTTTGGGCCACATTAGCACAGGTGATGAAAAATGAGTACCAATATAACCCTGAAACAAAGTGCACAATGGAAGTCAGCCAATTCTCCACAACCAAAAAAGTTCTAAGTCCAAATCAAGAGTCAAAATGATGTTTCCAACCCTTTTTGATATCAGAGGGATCATTCATTATAAATTTGAACCAATTAGACAGTTAACCAAGTTTACTATTTGTAAGTAAAAGCCTGTGTAAAACAGAAGAAAATAACCTGAACGTTTTGCTGACAACTCCTGGTTCTAGCATCATGACAATGCACCAGATCACACAGTACTATGTATGAAGAGTTTTTAGCCAGTAAACAAATAACTTATATTAGAACACCCACCCTACTCACTTAATCTGGCCCTCAATGACTTTTTTCTTTACTAGAAGATAAAGGAAATATTGAAAGGAAGACATTTTGATGACATCTGGGACATCAAAGGTCATATGACGACGTTTCTGATGGCCACTCCAGAGTTCCAAAGAACACTCTAGAATATTAGACTAGGTGCATGGCTTCCCAAGGGCAATACCTCAGGGGTGACCATAGTGCTACGTGGATCACTACAAAAGTTTTGAAACAGACCATGTTATGATCCATTATTTTACAGCACAGTCAACAACATCCTTCCTGGTTCACCTGTGCAAGTTTCAACTTGCTCAGATTATCAGTGTTGCTGGGAGGGCTTCATTTGTTTCCATCTGCACAGATTTTATGTTTCTTGATTTTCATGTATCATAACTTTTGTAATGACCCACATATTCAGCAATGATGTTGCACTTTTTCTAGTATAAGTTCATGAACTTAATTGTCAGACCTTGTATACAATTCCCCACTTGGCTTCTCCACATAGATATCTAACAGGCATCTCAAACTTAACATATCTGAAACCAAACTCCTTGGGAGGGGTTGGGATGGGGTGGGTGAAATCACCTAATGGGTACAGTGTATATCTGGGTAACAGGCACACTTACAACTTTGACTCAAGCTACAAAAGCAATCCATGTAACTAAAACATTTGTACCCCCATATTATTCTGAATTTTTTTTAGGTATAAAAATGAAACTAAACTATTTCACCACTACCACCACCACCCCCCATGTCTGTTCCTCCTGTAGACCTTCTCATCTCAGTAAATGGTAACACTATCCTTCTAGTTCCTTGGGCCAAAAATCTTGTGAGTAGTAACTGATTCCTCCCTGTCTTATACTCCAAATGCAATTAGCGAGCTCTATTTTCAAAATGTATCCAGAACCCAACCATTTTTCCCACTCCATTGCTACTCCCTTGGTCCAAGCCATCATTTCATGGATCATTAAAGAGCCTCTTTACTGGTCTCTCTACCTTCAACTTTTACCCTACAAAAGTCCATTCCAACAAAGTAGACAGATAGAGCTTTTAAAATTTAAGTCAGACATCTCTTCTCAGTAGGATAAATGTGCTTTAAGGCACTGGACAATCACTGAAACAACCACAGGAAGATGAATCAGGATTCTAGGGAGGAGGAAAATGCAGAGGTAAGCTGACATTCCAAATATGTTCTCCCATGGGGATATTTGCCAGTTCTGGGAGCAAGGTGCTAAGAATTAGAGCTTGCCTCTACAGAAGGTCACTGGTTGAAGACAGGAGAAACTAATACAGCATTTGGTTGTACTGAGGAGCTAACAAGAAAGAACCAGGGGCCAGGTGTGGTGGCTCAGGCCTTTAATCCTAGCACTCTGGGAGGCCTAGACGGGTGGACCACTTGAGCTCAGCAGTTCAAGACCAGCCTGAG